TCTTCTTTGAGACACAGTATAATACCAATTCAAATACAGTTAGTGGTGTCTGCGGACAAATGTCTCATGTGAATTAGTTAAGTTTAAAAATTAAAAAATATAGTTGTGTTCTGTTGTAAAATTCTTATCAAGCTTTCTTCACCATATCAGCATTGGACAATGATTGCATGATGCCCAATTGGTTAGACATCAACAAGTCTATTCATATGTATGTAACTTTGTTCATCATAGCGAGTTACCAATCTCCTTTTGATGTCCACTACTGCTTGCTGTGTGTTAGTGCATCAAATCAAATTGTTTTCTTTTTCAAGCGCTGTTTAGTGTTACACCCTGAAATCAAAATGTCCTGCTGCTAATAGAAATATAATGGATGCCTGTAAGTGAGTGATCATCTGCACACTGGAGAATGATTAGACTAACTAATACAAGCAGACATGATGCATAATGGTTATACAACATGTAATTAGGCTTATTATATCATTTGACATGGCCTCTGGACGTCTGGATTGGACTGTGGGCTGGCATGTTTGACCGAGCTTCTATATCTGGTTGGGGGTTGTAAAGCTATACTATTTGAGTCAGTAAGCCATTCATTTAGGTGTGGAATTGTAACTTTGCCCAGCCCTGCTTTTGACATGCTGAAACTACTGGTATCTGTTAGTATTTCAGTACTTTATTAGTAGTACTACATTTTTGATGCAACATGAGACACAATCTCAAAGGCCAAATTATCACTGAAGTAAACTATGAGGACAGAAATCTGTTTTTAGCAGCTGGAAGCAGCTTGTTGCAATTGTTCTTTTATGAGAATCAAGCTTTTTGCTTACTCTTTTTGCGTTGCTACGCTTTAGGCCCATGGCGTCTTTGCCGGAGTGCTCTGAACTCCTTGAGTTGAAAAAACATCATCTCTGCTTTTTTTTCATTGTCCAATGAGATGATTAGTAAACAATGGAGGAGAAACTGGTGGTAGCAGTTGCTGATTATCCAGAGCTATACGACTTTACAAACCGCAGTAACAATGATCTCAATAGAAACGGCATGGAAACGGCCATCGTGGAGGCAAAGCTCCTGGACCAACTTGTGGTACTCCCAGTGATCCACACTCTTTTTTAGGGTCTCATATATCCACACAGATCTCTGTTTCTCTGTGCCCAGCAAACTATTTGCTGACAGCCTCTCACCCTCAACCAGAGCTACAGCAAGTACTCTGCCCATTTTAGGAGCTAGGTACTAATTACTGTAAAATAAAAAGAATAAAATAAATAAATACATAAAAGGTAGATTGATTGCATAGGAAGGTTAGGGTAAAGAGATGATGGGGTGGTGCCCAGGCTGGCAACAATAAACAGATGCTGTAAGCATTTTTTTACTAATGGCAAAAAAAAGGCAGTGCGGTGCGCCTCGCGTTTTGCAACCACTTTCTGTGTGATTGGGGCCCAAAACTGTTGCAAAATATAGATTCCATATGGATTTATAGTATCCCTCATGAGTCATACACGGAGTATATACAGATAGCGGGAACAGTTTTTGGTATACAAATTGGCATTTCTCAGCCCAGTTGCCAGAAGAAACATACGTTTCTCCAAACCAGGAATGCGTTACATATTCATGTTTCATATGTATCATGTCAGCATTTCTAAAGTGATGTAGCGTATGAGGAGACTGTCTGAGGCAAGGCACCTGTCACACTGCAGACCAGTGTTTGAGACCAACAAACAACAAAACTGGTTGTGTTGTAGCAACCTGTCACTGTGTTTTTAAGCAGCTTTTTAGCCACCAAATGTGGTACTTTTTAGTGGCCCATTGCTGTTTGTCCAGCAGAGATGGTGCCACATACAACAGTTGTTACATCACTGCTTTTCCTGCCTGGATTGTGCCCCCCAAAATAGGGTATTTTAATACTAAACATTATCTTTTTAACTATAGACCATAGGTTTTATGCCTAAACCTCTACATAATGATGTACAAATGTAAAGTATCCATGGTTTGCAGCAACATACAATAACAACATTTCTGAGGTGATCAAGTTGCATTTCTAGACTGTGCAGTCTGTACTTCCTCTGATTAGACAGATAGATAATTTATTGTACTGCACAAGAACACATAAGAACAATTAATTAACATCAGTCACAAAAACACAAATACAAGGAACACAATATACAAAAACCTGAGTCCAGATTATTGTTGCTACAGTTTGTTGAGAGCGGTGATGGCAGAGGGCACAAAGCTCTTACTGCAGCATGTTTTTTGACATAAAACAGATCTGTATCTACATCCAGATGGGATGAGATCAGAGGGTGGCTGGGGTCATGTGCTATAGTGAGTGCTTTGCGCGATGACAGTGTCAGTGAGGGCTGGGAGGTTGGGAGTAATGATTTTAAAAAACATTGTGTTTGATTTTGAGGAGTTTGCTCCTGTTGGTGACAGTGAACATGGTGAAGTAGCATGTGGAACTGTAGAGAAGGATGGGTTCTATGATGCTCCTGCAGGAGGAGAAGGAGGTGGGATGTGGCTGCGATTGCCCCAAGTTTCTGTATGGTGGAGAGGATCTGTTGGCACGGATGTTGGTACTGTGATGTTCAAAGCTAAGTTGATTGTCAAAGGTGATTCCAAAGTACTTTACACTCTCTATCATCTAAAATTGTTCATTGTTCATGGAGATGTGGCAAAGGGGGGTACGGGGTTTGTTGCTGGTTTCAGTGTGGAGCTCCACTGATTTGCACCATCCACTTGTAATTCAGCATTTAAACATTGCACCACCAGGCAAAGTAAATGTTAACAAACACAAGACTAAACCCAGGGAACAGAGGCACATCCAGAGCTGTTTGCTCAGGTTTTCACATTGTTGAAGGCCAGCATGTAGAAATCCTAAATAATGCAGCATGCCCTAAAGGATACCAAAATATGTAACAATTATTAATAAGCCTCAAGAGGCACCAAAATAATGTAACTTGAACACCTTAATTGGTATAAAAGATAAAGCAGCACTCAAATACAGGCAATCACAAATAACCAGTATTTATTATAAATGACAGAATTTAACTTAACATGAAATTCACCTCGGGACACCACCCTTCCTAAAGGGAAAATGACGACATAAAATAATTCAGTCCCAATTCTGGAGGTTGACTCATAAACAGTGACCATACTACATCATAGAAATTGTTTAATTAAGTTTTTTTATATAACTTAAAGGCTTATCAAGCTACTAACTACACAGACAACTATTAACTACTGGCATACAAATAGATTAATAAATAAATACAGTGATGATCACTGCGCAAATGACTTAGGACCACTGTATAGCAGATTTACTCATTGAATGATATCTGGGTGAGATGTATTAACTTTTGGAAACACTGGAGATCACTACTAAGCTGATGATATCTCAGACCCCAATCAGTGAGATTTTCAGAGGATTATTCCTGAAGCATTTCAGCATCTTTACTATACTGCATAATCACAGGAAAGAAGTCCTTCACCTGATGGTTCTTAAGGCCAGGGGGAAAGTTGTCTGTCGTTTCTTGCTTAGGCTGCTTCCTGTAGGGCGATGACATCGTAGATCGCCTCCGCTTGGCTGAGGGGAATTGAGAATTCTGTCTCCCGGAGTTTGCTGGATACTGATGCCTTCAGTAGGTTTGGTGTGGCCCAGGAATTCAGAGGAGTTCAGGATAGCCTCGGAGTTCAGGGCCCGTATACAGAGGGCCAAAAGAGAAGAGACTTACCTAAAAGCAAAACAAGCAAGCACAGAGAGGGAAAAAGTGAAGGAAGCCTTGGGCTTCTTTTTCTTGTCTGGTGTCTCATGGTCCGTGGCACAAAACCTCCCACCACTGAATCTCTCCAGTGTAATTATTTTCTCTGTTAAACTTTCTTTTTATCTCATTTATTTATGCACTTAATTCAGGTGAAGGAGACTATATTTTAAGTCTTATTTTGATGCAAAGATTTGCTACATCAGCCCTACCACTAATACCAGTTCAGGCTGGCAGGATAGGAGCATGGGTTGTTAATGTTAGCCTGTAAAGCACCACTAGTAGCCTGGTAATGAAGCAGTGTTCTCTTATATTTTAAGACTTTGATTTGATTGATTGGTAGCATGAAACTTGTGCACTTGTTGTGAGGGAATCGTTAGCATTCATGCTTTTTTTTTTTTAAATGGAAAATTTCATTGTGATAATACCATTATTGCCATAGTTGGATCTGTTTACAGAAATGCCATCAATGATGATGATAATGACTTATCAGGGTTTTGAAGGGTAGTCCAATTTCATAGGGGTAGATTTCAACCCCTACCCCTTGTACAGTAACAAAGGGGCAAAGAGACACTCAAAAACAAAAAAAATATATGAAATGGGACTGGGCCTAATGTGTCTGATAGGGTTGTTTCAGCAGATCATGATATTGATGAATCCCAGCAAACCTTTTGTGAGAGAGTAGAATATTTTTGAATCACTTAAATCATTGTTTGATTTGACAACAGAAGTTTCAGCACAGCGCTTGGTGCATGTTTCTGCCCTGAAGTTTATTAATAGCTGACTACATGCTCCTTTTATAAATAGCTACACCTTCATGGTCTCACCTGAATAAGAAGCATTATGGAGCACTAATAAGTCCATTCATCACCAGGGGCAAAAGAAAGGGAGGGATGGAGATCTTGAGGAGAGGAGGAAGCAGGGGAAGAAGGAGGAAAATGAAGGGATAGGGTGAAAGAAGAGAGTAGACTGGTGAATAAAGTAGTGGTGAGGGAGGCAGGCGCTTTGGGTGTGTGTGTGTGTGAGCATGCGTATACATCGTAGAGAAATCTGATGTGTGTCTACCCCCCACTTAAAATCAGACTTCTGGTGAAGGAAGAGCCGCAGGACCTTTCCCTCAGCTCTCACTCTTTTCTATCTCTCCAACTCTTCCCTTCCTCTCTGTCTTTCTCCCCTGTAGTAGCTCACATCCATCCTAACAGTCCTTCACCATGTTGGTACTCTACAACTGTTTTCTCTCTCTCCTAGAATCGATCTATCGCCGCGGGGCCAGAAGATGGAGGAAACTCTACCGAGTCAACGGACACCTCTTTCAGGCCAAGCGCTTTAACAGGGTAAGTGCCTTCAAAACTCAGTGATACACACTCCCATCTGGGGAGATCATGCAGTAATGCCTGAACAATGCTTTCGCCAGTTCAGTTAATTGAGCCCGTCTTCACTGGGGATACAGGGGATTATGTTGCTGGAAGACACACAAAATTTTAAAATGATGTTTTATCCTTGTTGTAATATAGTATAGGGTGAAGTTTGGTGTATCTTCAGAATTCTAAAGACTTGTACCAATTTTAGAATTAATATGAACTGGTCTTTCCCCCACTGAATTTTGCCAAAGAATTTAGAGAAGCTATGAATGAGCAGAACAAGAAAATAGAGCTGAAATGATTAATCAGTTAAATGTCAATTATTAAACTAAGCACCAGCTTAATTTTTAATCAATTAGTCGGTTTGAGTAGGGGGGAATGTGAATAATTTCTGGTTTCTTTACTCCTCTGTAACAGTAAACTGAATATCCTTGGGTGTGGACAAAAGACATTTAAGGACATTATCTTGGGCTTTGTGAAACACTAATAGACACTTTATACTATTTTCTGACATTTTATCGACCAAACAGCTAATCAGTTACTCAACAAAACATTCCACAGATTGATCAGCAATGAAAATAATCGCCAGTTCTAGCCCTGCTAGAAGAAGAGGCACAAGTTTGTGTTCATAGTCAGCAGCATGTCTGTGCCATCAGTGTTTTTTGCAGCCAACACAGAAGCAGTTAGCATTCATTAATTCTGTAAGAGTTAAAACAACTTGCATTGATGTCATCCTCACGCATTTATGTTTGGAAATGACTCTACCTTTGACTCAGGAAGTTGACGTTTCCCACTCCTCACGAAGCTCTGATTGGCTTACATCAATAAGCCCAACACCAGACCTAGCTGAATCATTTGAAGACATCTGAAATTGGCAGTGATTCAAAGTCTGACACCAGGCTTCTGTATATTCGGGAAAGCAGCTGAAAGAAAATAGCGTTCGAACATGAAAGTGTTTTGTTACTTGGGAAAAGGTACCCTGGGAACCAGATGAATCTGCAAGTGCATGTCTCATTTCCTGGTACCCCTCCTGTTCAAATGGATTTCCACCAGGCCAGATCCTGGGCAGGCGAATCACAACCGGTTATCCAATATGGGGTGGGTTTGATAAAATGATCAACAGAGGAATATCACCGGCCTTTTTTCAGTCCACTAGGCTCACGTAATTCAGATCAAACTGTCAAACTAGGCAGCGCTTATCAAATATGAATCAAGATTGTGTTACTGCTTTGTCGGTTTTCCACCTGGGATTTTTTGAGAAACACATTTTAGTGTACTGTTTAGCTGTAACTTGAGAAAGTTTGTGATGAGGCCGCCACTTTTTCCTGCTCGAAAATAGGCCAAGCACTGTCCCAACTTGCATGTATGTATGTTGGTTGTAAGTCTATCCAATGAGTACACAGGTATTTTAGTCACAGTCCGTTAATAAGTGACCCCTGAAAATCAAAAATGAATTGAGAGGTCAGAGATTAATTAACATTTGTGATTTTGTCTGGTGGTGTTAGGCTAGAGAAAAGATACGAAAGATCTGAATTGAGGACTCACATCCACATACTTGCCTTGTCGAAAGATTTCAACCCCATCTCATGGTCTTCATCAGCAGGTTGTGTTTTTAATAAACTTCACATTTTGTCCAATGCCAGTGTTAAGTACCAATGCAAAACATAATCACATTCCATGCACTTAATGTTCCCCTTTTTAACAGCCATAACCTTAACTTTTAGTTACCTAAGCCTGGAGATACCTTAACCACAACAAATTTGCCATAAGCATGATTTTTCCCTAACATGAACCATGCTGTAGTTGCTATGTGCCGACCTACAGAAATGTAAAAACACTGGCATTGGTTTTTGCACAAAGGTCCAGTATCATTATTCCTTTGTGTTGATAGGTTTGAGCATGTGATATACACTTTTATAGCAGATACCCTGTGGTTCACCAGGTCCTTCAGCACTGTGTTTGAGTAGCATCTGTCATAGTTAGATGCTGACTCAGCATGATACTCTCTTGTTCTAATACTCATAGCCATTATTTTCCCCTTACCCACATTTGGGTGTGGAGAGTACTGGTGTCTTTCTCTATCTTCTGTATCTGTGTGGAGTTTACAGTACAGTATGTCATAAACATATTGCAGTTGAATAATGTATGACAGGTAATCAAGTCATTGCACCAGCTAAGCTATCTGGATATTGGTGCATAATTCATTGTGTCCTGGTTATGGCCTGTTTAGCAGTTGTCTCGTCTCAGCTCTCAGCTCCATGCCACACACAGACAGACAGACAGACAGACAGACAGACAGACAGACACACACACACACACACACACAGGTATCTGAATGCATATGTTGGCTTTCATCAATTTGAAGAAGATGAAGAGCTCCAGCTGCTCACCCTGCTTGCCTGAAACAGGACTTCAAATTTCAAGTGCTCTTATTCCGTAATGCACAATGGCTACTCTGGAAGGGAGCAGACAGACGTTAATGCTATTTCAATCAGGCCTTAAGTACCTTAAGTATATGTTTCCTCTGAAGTCGAACAAAGAAGATCAGGCTTCACTGCTTTACCTTTGTGTTGTGGACCCTCCCTTTGTGAGGCATGTTCGCTTTAGCAAAGATCATATCATTATGTCAAAGAATGTGTTTTTGTTGTTTGTCTTTTGTGAAGGTGTGTAGTGCAACATTTAGTTGAGTCTAGCTCAACACTTACACCAACAATCCTTTTAACAACAGAGGAATAATATATTAAATTTACTGAAGTCATGAATGCTTTTTAAAATATGTATTTATTAGTTCAAACAAGTTTGTTGGATGTTGTTACATCTCCATCTGTAATTTTCGGCTTTGACATTTTACTACCATTTGTTTGTGTTTTTGGTTACCATTGCATGGTTTTTCTATGTGAACAAAATTGTCTTTTCTTATAAATTTTCAACTTTCTCTCAGCAATATAACATTAGTTATTCATGGTTCTCTGCTGCAACTTGATGGCTTGCTGTCTCATTGATTAAAACAAATTTGATCTTGGGAATTAGAGTGTCATGCAGAAGTTTAGGCACCCCTAGTCAAAATTTTGATTACTGTGAATAGCTAAGTAAGTAAAAGATGAAGTGATCTCCAAAAGGAAAAAAAAAGTGAAAGGTGACACATTTCTTCAATATTTTAAGTGAGATTACTTTTTTTTACTTCAATCTTTTACAGTTTCAAAATAACAAAAGAAGGAAAAGGGCCTGAAGCAAAAGTTTGGGCCACTTGCATGGTCAGTACTTCGTAGCCCTGAGCTCATAGCCCTACCAAGCTAATTATGGTCTGAGACCCTGGTAAAAGTTTAAGGAGAGCTCAAAAGTCGTGGGGTGCCCAAACTTTTGCATGGTGCTCCTTTTCTTTTGTTTACTCCGAAATTGTACAAAACAAAAATAATACACTGATCTTGTTTAAAATGTTGAAAAGCATGTTTTATCTTTAACTTAATGCCTTTTGGAGATCAGTTCATCTTCTACTCACTTAACCATTCACAGTAAAAGAAATTTTGACCAGGGGTGCCCAAACCTTTTCATGCCTCTGTAAGTGTAGACTTTCTGGGAATGAATAACTTTAGTTGATTCAAGTCAAATGGCTCAAGTCCAAGTTAAGTCACAACTCATTAGTTATTAAAATCTAACTTAAGTTGCAAGTCTTTTTTGATGTTGTCAAGTCGAGTCTTAAGTCATTCAATTTGTGACTCAATTTGGAGTCCAAACCCCTGCTTGTAAGTATTTAATGACAGCAAAAATTTAAGTTATAGATATAAAATAAGTTAGGATTAATGGAATGGATTTCCTTTTTCACTATTGCCACTGTTAATGTTTTCCCGGTTAGCAAAACAGCTATTAGTCTAAAACATCTCCCATGGGTGCTACAGTCAATAGCAACAAACTCAACACTGTGCTTGAACATCTACAACTTAATGTGGCCATTACTGCAGATGCACTGTGAAGCATAAAAAAAAACATAGGTACACTACATTAGTACTTTGTGCTAAACCAGTGCTGCTGTTACTTTATGCTGTTTAGATGTCCTGACTCCAATTTAACTGAACATTTTCAACCAAATACATCGATATACTACTAGTTTGTTTTTTCGAATACCAAATATTTTGGAGGAACGTTAAACGAATTTCCTTTTTTAATTTCATTGAATGTATGTATACAGGAAAGGAATTAAAAGTAACATTAGCTGTGTAACAGTAAAAAACTGATGTATAACTGTGTGTAACTGGTGAATACTATGCAGGATTTTCCTAAAAAACGATGATAGACTCATACAAAAGTAATCCCTCCCAATCATCACCTACAACCCAGTCTTAGTTTGTGGCAATTAATTTATCTACATAGACTCTGCTCTCTGCCTGTAGTTTTCTTTTTCTCTTATTTTGCTAAGTTTGGGACGTGTACGGGCATAGCACGCAGGTGAGGCCAGCCCATAGACCCCTATAAATGGCTAGTGAAACGCCCTGAACTAATATTCATTGACAAGGAACCGCACGAAGAAGAGCTTGGTAAACGTAGCAAGAAAAGGTAAAAAATGAAACTTTACACAATGTGAAGTTGAAGTTATTGTTGGGGAGGTTGGTAACAGAAAGAAAATGTTGTTATGGGCATTCCTAAGGCTAAAAATGCAGCGGAATGGCAGCTGGGGGCAGATGCTGAAAATGCTGCTGCCTCAGACTGTTTCAGAGAAGTGAAGAAGTGGTCTGATATTAAGGTGTTAAGGCTATTTGCGGTGATTTATTTAGACAGAAATGTTTCAAGCTGACTGTCAGACGGTTTTAGTGAGTGTCTGAAATAAATACTCTAAATGGGGGATACAGTTGCCAAGGTGCTGTTTGAAAAACAATCTGATTTTCTTGACTCAAATGATTTCTTAAAATACCTCTTGACTTCATAAATGATGCATCGCATCCAGATGCTGGCGCGCAGCAGCAGCATTTGGCTCAAAT